TTTAATTTTTGAATTATTATTTACATTATTAATATAAAGTATTCCACTTGAAGTATAAAAGTTTACGGTTCGTCTCAACAATATCGTCCTCGTATTAAAGACATACAGTGTTGGCCATAATAATATAACATATCCAGATTTTACATAGTTGAAGATAGATTTCCTTATATACAACTTTGGATGCACGATTTTATTGGCTTTCAGTTCAGACAAAAATTATAGAATATTTTATTTTGGTAGATGTTCCGCAGATATGCATGTAGTAAAATGCGGTTATTTTATTATTACAAATAGACACATCAATTTTATTATCTGTATTGATTCAGTCTCCCGCCTTGTATGGCAAATGCTCTTATCACATGTTAACCAACATTTTATATTGTCCTTTGATTCATTCGAAGATAAAACAATTTTTTCCGGCCATTTGGAAAATTCCTTGCATACCTTTACATTTTTATATATTTTTAGTGCCGGGTGAACGCAGACTTTATTGGCTATGTGTACATATATGGGAAGATATAAAAAGTAAAATAATATAAAACAATTTAACGGTATAAGAAATTTTAATTAAATATTAAAGTTAAAAAAGCACTTGGGCTCAACCGGGATTTGAACCCGGGACCTCTCGCACCCAAAGCGAGAATCATACCCCTAGACCATTGAGCCGTACACTATACTTTCGCCGATTTAGAGTTTTATGGCGTAACCTGTCGAAAATAAAAAAAATTGCAATGCTATTTACTATTGAAGTAAATTCTATTTTTTTAACTACATTTTTTAATGAAAAGTGTAAATGTATTTTCTTTATATTAAGCTTATTTCTTATAAGAAGCTTAGTTAAGTATTTAGTCTATATATGTAGATCATGCAAGAGCTTTTCCTCTATATAGCTACATCAAACAACAAAGCGTTTTATTGCATGCTTTTAGGCTTCAGTTATAAGAAAAACAAGTTGATAAAATAGTGCTGTGGTGCGTAGTGCGTAAGTAGTGAATCTACATTTAGCACTACTACATTAGTACACTTGATCTCCTTTTTGCACGCTTTTTGTTTGAACGGATATTTTTTGCAAGTTTTTTTTTGTACACCTCCTAGTTGCTATTTCTACACGGTTTATTTTAATTTTTTTTGCAATAAAATCAAAATCCCATACGTAAATGCAGGTATGCTTCATTTAAGAACATGTTATCGTAATAAGAATTAATTAAATGAAGCAGTAGAATGCTACCGTGAGCTGTATGAAGAAGTAAAGGAAGACACAGCGATTAATGACGGATTTTTTAAATCGTAAACGTAACATATTGACATGAACTTTTATTTTTATTTACATGAATTTATTATACTTTTTTTACCCTTGTTTGCCCTTTTAACAATAATACATCCATATGAATATAATACCATATAAATCTACAGCTTTTTAATTGTGTAAATTCTCACTACGAATAGATAGATTAACATGTAAAATAAGATATTTTTTCCGTTTTTTTCATGGATTTTTTTTATAAATTGGTCCTAATAGTGAGTTTTATATGACAATTTTATTAGTTTTGTACGTTCTTTTTTTTTTTTGCAAGTGTAATTTACTGTCCCATTAACCGTGCAGAAAGTAGATCAAGTGTAATGTGTAATTAATTTTTGTTATAATTTCATACTTTTTATTTTGAAAATTTATAATGAAAAACAAACAGCCGTATTTGCGCAAAAATTTTATCCGATAGGCAACTTTAATGAATGTTCGAAAGGGTCTTAAACCTGTTATCAGTTTCAGTTGAAGATAAATTTTAAACAAAATATATGGTTTCCTTTACAATAGTTTATTTTCTTAGTTGATTGGAAATAATTCTGAACAGTAAACATTAGTAATCTGTTACAGTATGGACTTATAAAAGTTTATTTTGCAATAAATCGGTGTCAAAATTTGATGATGGGCGTGGCACCGCCCATATTTAAGAGAAAATTTATGGCTCGGGATTCATTCCACCGATTTCAACCATATTCGGTATGTAATACCTAAAAATTCCTACATTACCGTGCGAAAATAGGCGAAATCAGACGAAAACCACACCTACTTAGCATATAACACAATTTTAACTTTCATCTGATTCTTTTACTTTCCAGTATGCAAATACAGCCTTTCACAAACACAGCCCTCAATTAATTTCATCTTACGCCCAAAAATTGTCAAAATCGAACTATAACTTTCTCAGAACCCAGACGCCAAATGTGTAGACCCCAGTGCATATAGCTGACTTTTTGCCGAAAATATCGGTCAATCTGTGAGATATATTATTGAAATTAGGTTGGATCGGATCTGTACTTCTCTTAGCCCCCATATACCTACCTAACAAAGATTTTTGAATTTCCAGTTGACTTTATACTATATACATACAGTCAAGAAAAAAAGTATACATACACCCTTCGATTTTGGCAAAGCTGTTACGAAAATCAAAAAAGTGAAAGTGACCAAAAGTCAATATTTGTGAAAAAGTTTATTTCAGAAAAAAAAGTTATTCATTGCAATAACAAAAACAGAAATAGTCAAAACATAGAAAATCATTAGTAAAAAACATCATACAGCTACCACAAAAATTTAAAAAAAATTTTGCAACAAATTTTTATTAATTTTAGTAGGTTGGTCTATCTTGGGCATCAATCACTGCTTGTAGACTTCGTGGCATTGAATTCACCAAATTTTCAGTTATATCGGGAAAAATTTCGGCCCAAGCTCGGGTAAAGGAAGTTTTGAGAGGTTAACGGCTGCTGATATCATATTCGCGTATTTTCTTTTCTAGAACGTCCCAAATATGTTCGATCGGATTTATATCTAGTGACTATAGTGGTGAATTTAGTTGTCTGGAGTATTATCTAGAAGCCAATCTCAAACAGCGTGCGCCGTATGCTTTGGATCGTTGTCTTTTTAAAAATTCCAATACTTTTCAAGACCCAAACTATCCACAGTCAGCCTTCAAATTTTGTTCCAATATGTTTTTATAACCATAGCGGTCCATAGTACCTTCTGTAAAAACCAAACTCCCAACTCCAGATGAAGAAATGGCATCCAAACGATAGCCTGCCCTCTCCATGTTTGACTGTAGGTATATTATTCTTCATATCAAACGCAGTATTTGGTTTTCTCCAAACACTGGATCGGCCATCATTTACAAAAATATCATACTAACTTTCGTCGGTAAAAAGCACTCCTTTCCAAAAATTCGCATCTTTCTCAAGATGTGATTTAGCAAAGTCAAGACGAATTTTTCGATTTTTCGCAGCAATTAGATGTTTTTTGCGTGCTACTCTTCTTTTATCCACAGCCACGTAGCCTATTACGTACAGTTATTCAATGTACATTAATATTCGAACAATTTTCAATGCGATTCGTCAACTTTGAGGAACTTAGTTTCAGATCCTTGTTGACTTCTTTTATAATGGAGCTTACGTCTCGCAGAGAAAGCTTTCTGGGTCGGCCAGATCGTGGCATATTTTCGATACTGTTTGTATTATTGAAGTTTTTTATGATACTTTGTACTGTGTATGATTTCTTTTCATTTCGGAGATTAACTACCATATTTCGAACTGAAATGTGTATTTCTTTACAATTTACCATTTTAAATAATGAAGTTTATTTATTGATTGAAACTTGTAAAATTGTTCTCTTTTATAACTAAAATACGCGGAATAAACATATCAACAAAATACACGGAGAATTCCTCGTTTTTATTTTCACTTTTAGATATAATGTCGGGAGTTGCCACGCGGTATGTATACTTTTTTCATCCTAAATATTATGTTTTCCCACAGTAATTGTGAGAGTTGTTTAAAAAAAGAAAAATTTGCCCACTTAAAATCTTATTTCATAATAACTTAAATATTGACATGAGGACTTTTTTGATTTTCCAAATTGGCTACATCGAAGGGTGTATGTAGACTTTTTCCTTGGCTGTATATCGGCCAATGTGGTAGTTATTTTAATGAAATTGAGAGGGCGTGTTTTTTTAACAACTGTGTAGCTTTGTGCCCAAAATGGATAATATCAGACGAAAACTTGCCTTAGCCTCCATATAACTGGTATTCACGATTTTGAAACAATCGGCTGACTTCAATCCATGTATGTATATACACTGATATTAGTATAATTTTCGCTGACGCGAAGTAAATTATAGTAATAAAGCTAGCCTCCCTTAGTTTAAGTTAAAATAATTTAATATGATAAAAAATTTGATTGTAGTCCATTCACGAATCGTAGCTTCGCTAAATTTTTTAATTTTAATTGTAATGAATCTACAAACTTTCTTTTCCATCAACACTTCTTTTGGATCGAGCCCCAGTTTTTACATTTTCTGCTGAAGACGCCAAAAAGTCCAATGCATTTTGCATATTCTGCCGGTATTAACCGTTGCATTACCTCGAATTCAACCAACTGATTTGGCTCAATGCTTCTAGGTGTTTTAGTGTGGCCATGTTTAACGATTTATAAACCGAGGTAATATTTTGAGTAAGAGGAACTACCACCGAATAATTGGTATTAAAAAACAAAATAATTTGGACAACAATAATAATAAACTATTGATTATAAAAATGTATTAATTAATTTTCTAAGTAATATAAAAGGACAAATAAAAGGTACAAAAAATAATAGAAGTACAATGATAATTTATTAACAAAAAAAAATTAACAAACCATCGTAAAATAAATAATTAAAGTGGCCAAAAATAAAATAATTTCTTGCCTACTGGGGAACGAATGCCAACAAGAGGAAACATAAGTTGTATGTAATAACACGGCTCAATGGTCTAGGGGTATGATTCTCGAGAAGTCCCGGGTTCAAATCCCGGTTGAGCTCAACAAGATATATTTATCCAAAGGAAAATGTTAAGGCGTTCAACTCTTCATACATTTCGTCTTAATTGTTAGCCAAAAACAAGTAACGACATTAAAAAATATAACAACAAATTTAAGTTGAAAACAAAATATTTGCGCGCTCGCTAATAAGCTTTATTCAACATTTCAAATCAGATAAAAGTTGAAACTAACTGGTGAATAGTTTAAACAAAAAGAGTAATTTTACTCAAAATATAAATCAAATGCAAATGAAAATATATATATAATATATAATGATAAAATGAATAAAAAGAGAAGAAAGAAGTTGTGTGTTTATAAAGTCAATGTGTACATACATATGTAGTATATAAATAATGTATACGTACTATTGTATATTATATATTTGTATGTTAATGCAAACAGTTGACCGCGATGGAAGACATATTGATTATACTGCTATATAACTATATACAAATTCACTAAAAGATAATATTAAATAATATTTTTTTTTTGTAATATTAGCCTAGAAATATAAAATTAATATTTTACATTAAAAAGTATATAAATCAATACTAATTTATTTACTAAAAAATAGTTTATGTAGCACTCTTTTCCATATTTATAGTTCCAACTTATCATTAAGAGTACACTTGAAGTCCTTGAAATATATTCTTAGTATAATTTGTAACTGCACTTCTCAAATTGCATCGAATTAGGATCGCAACATTTTCGAGTTTCATTTTAATACTATGCACCGTTAGTAATTTTGTTTCTCAATACTTGAAATCGAAATTTTTTTTAACTTAAATAACCCTCATAGCCCACAAATCTACGATGAACCGCCTTCCTTCAGTGGTTTTCATCTGGCAAGGCTTCCACACATTTTCTCCCATTGTCTGCCTTTCACTCTTTGTTCTTTATCTGCATCTCTCTCTCTCTCGCTTTTTATATTTATATCTCCTTCCTTTCTATCTGTTTGTTTCTTTCACTATCTTTGCTGCCTCCCACTACAGCTTAATTGAAAATATCATCGACCAGCTCCTTTGTAATAATGCGATGTGGACGTGTCGGATTCACCTTGGGACGCTGATAGAGACGTGCATTGATGGCGTAAAGACGTGGCGACAGATCACAGCGAACATTGAACCACCAATCGCACACGAAGACGGCTTGTGAAAATTGTGTGCCATTTGGACACAGGAAAGACGCCTGTCGGCCATCAATGTCGCAATAGTGCCAACCTGTAATGAACAGATAGACATAAAACAATTACAATATATTTTTATTTATTAAATTCTGCACTTACCTTGACACCTGGTTTCCATGTCGGCGAAAAATCCCGGATATGGCTGCTCATCGCAGTAGAAATTTGTGTATGGAATGGCTGAGAGTATGGGATAGTCGACACCAGGACGGCCTAGAATGAATGAATATTGACCGAAAAGGTTAAAAATCAACAAATGTTTCAATCTATGCATATACTATATATTTCAAAAAATTCAAACACTTTACAGACTAGTTTTTAATTTAAAAAACGTCCTATATTTTTATTCTTGTATTAACTATATATATAGCTACTATTTTAACATTTCTTTGTTCCTTGTAATAATCAATTAATGGACTCATGCCGCATGCTTAAGGTTTAAGTTTTTAAAATGGATGTGGATAACTTCTTCGTATATCTAAATAAAAATTGTGTGTGAAATTTATTCTTCGATCATTTGAACCATCTAACGTACAGGTCATTTCGACCATTTCCTTAAAAAGTCTTGTGCTAATATCATCAGCTGAAAACTCTTAGTTTAAGTAAAGGTATATTTCGAAAAAGAGTTTATTTTAAAAATGAAGGAAATGTGCTCTTTAAAAAAAATATTTATATATCCACTGAGATATAAAAAATCGTCCGCCAAGCAATGGAGAATTTGCAGATATACCAACCCATAATAAAATTATCAAACAAAAATTGGTATTATAAAGTTGGCTTACAGATTACGTATAGTCATGGCTAAACTACTTGACTAATTTAAACCATATATGGTTTAGCTATAATATTTCTAGGATGACTGTCTGGCATAGTTTGTTGATAGCAGAAAGGAATGACTACTATATCTACTCTTATTAAGTTTATTTATCATGAATAGCTCAAGATTAAGCAAACATTTTGAATGATGATCATCAGCTTAAATAGGCGAGTGTAGTTTTCCTAGCCCCATGTACGAATTTTCACGATCTCAATCACTTTATACCGGATAAATCCTACAATATGTAAGATATCTTAACCAAAGAAGGTGGTCATGATTTTGAAAACAACGTTTTGTTAAAAATGGTGAAGGTTCTGTTAAAAGATGAGGTATTATATATATCGCAATTAAATATGTCATAATGCTGTCATTATATTATATTACGAAAATGTTCCAAAGTTTTAAAATAAAAAATTTTTTGTGGGAATTATGAAATGTTCAGAATATATAAAAATACTTGTATGTAATGTCATTATAACTGAAATTATCAGTTTTTTGTATTTTGGAAGTGGAAAAATGGTAAGTGGAATACATATCACTATATTCTGTCAGTTAGAGTCATTTGAAATTGACATTATGAAAATTTCATATTAGTCCTTAGTTCATTATATACATACGAATATCTGATATATATTGTATATATAGGGTATAAGAGATATTTAGACACCAGTGAAATCTATCGAACATATTTTTGGGTGGTATTTCATATATAATAGAATTAAATCGGATGGTAAATATAGGCTTTTATATTTATTGACCACGGCGCCCTCTATCGTGCCGTGGTAATTATGTGAGATGTGTCGACCACAAAAGGTATGGCCACCAATAATATTAAAGCACCCCAATTTATAAGAATGAATCATGTCTTTATCATTAGAGGCACAAAAAGCAAATGGTAGAAACATGTTTTTGGTTTATGAAGTGAATTGGAAGTTGTCTTACAGTCACATACAAACATACACATATGAAGTGCCGCAACCTTATCAAACAGTATGTTAAAACGAGTGGAGAAGATACAAAAAAAACATGTTTGAAAACAATGTTTCACTTTTTAATTAATGCACTAACAAACACAAATATACAGATAAATAAACTATTGCGTGTATGGCAAAGCCAGCAAAACTATTGATGAAGATGAGTACTAACGTAGTCCGAAAACTAAGTTAAAAGAAAATGTAACTTAATCTTAACTAAATGGCTCAATGGTCTAGGGGTATGATTCTCGCTTTGGGTGCGAGAGGTCCCGGGTTCAAATCCCGGTTGAGCCCGATTCAATATTTTGTTTGAATTTTTTTCTAAATACCGTTTATGAAATACATTAACGGTACTTTAATGTTGTCAATTGACATAAAATATTTTTAATACAACATTTTAGCGAATAGCTCACAATTTGGGTTCTAACATTTGTTTATATACCAATTTTTCATCATTCACTTGTTTATATATGGGTCCATTATTGTTTTTTTACTTAACAAATTTAACAATTTTTTTCTAAATACCGTTTATGAAATACATTAACGGTACTTTAATGTTGTCAATTGACATAAAATATTTTTAATACAACATTTTAGCGAATAGCTCACAATTTGGGTTCTAACATTTGTTTATATACCAATTTTTCATCATTCACTTGTTTATATATG